AGGATGTAGCTTTTCCTACCCATTCAACTAGCTAAATCTCTTGCTCAGGCTTTCTTTTCTTATCCCTGAACGACATGCAACATATTTTGTCTCAACTTGGTAGTACACCGTTGCTTTATTGATATCCATCCAGAAGGGCATTTTCTCAGTCTGTTGTTTTGGTCTCTGTCTTACTAGTTCACTTGTGCCTCCTGGATCATGTTGGATATAATGATGAGTATTTACCTTCAGTTTCTAGACCCCAGTCACCTACTGTTTCCACAGCATGACTCACTAGGTTTTGAGAAGACCTCCTTTCTCCTGGTACATCTCTTGAGCCATCCTCCATTGCCCTTTCATTTCGAGATTTCACGTGCAACTCTGTGCTTGTTCTCGTCCTTCCATGAAACCTTTGCCATGGTTCTTCAGGCACCTCCACCAGAAATAATGATGTCTCAAAAGGTGTACCATGCCTGTATTACCACTGTTTCGTAGTCTGTTCAGTTTTTCCCCATGTGCCTAAATTTATCTTGTTTTTTGCAGTTTTCTCAAGGAGTTTTGGCAAGGACTTCTCCCTTGTTCTGCTAGATCAGGGCTTGGCAGAGCAGATGAAGCTTTTAGGAGTTGTTATAGGAATAAACTAATAATGATTTTCAGGTAATGTCAACCAAATGTGCTCAGGAAGTGGAGAAAGGAGAGAGGAAAATGTCCTTGAAGATCTGAGGAGAGATTAGCGGTGGATTAAGAATGCATCAAAAGAAAGTGCCTCGTTACACAATGCCAACTGTGATAATGAATGTGTAATAAGGACTTGGGAAAATCAGGAAGAGGGGGATGTGAGGGTGGAATTTGACCAGTGCATTGCTCCATCCCTTCTTTTCAGAGAGCTGATCATCTGGAATGACAGCTGTCACCATGCTTAAAAGGCAATGTCAAAGACCAGATAAATGAAGTTCTTCAAAGTTATCTCAGTGTTAAATGCACCATGTTGCTATCTCTGAAAACCTGTGAGTTGGTCAGAATAGCTTTAGTGCCTGGAATAACTTGGAGCAGTTGGTGCGGAGCTGAGCGGTGATGGCGGGGTGTCAGGTCAGGCAGCATGCTTAGGTCCCAGCGGAGGAGAGTGATGGGCTGATGGCCAGCATCCTTGTGATGAATCCAGGGATTAGAAATGATAAAGATCACAAAGCAAAGTCTTAGAGGCTGTGCCCTGTTTCCCTGGGCACCCACGGCTAGGCTACTCTTCCACTTGCATGGTAACACAAATCTCAAAGTGCAGGGCTAATTAGGTGGTTCACTGATAACTCTCATTTATACATAACGTTCTCTCCCACAGGGAGTCTAAAGTAGCTTGCAACTGCTAGCACTGCCACAGTGCAGCTTGAACCAGAGGTGAGAGAGACAGCAAGTGTATAGCACCCTACTGGGGAGGCTTTGGAAGAAGTTATCCAAAGAAACGTTTGAAAGTTGCATTTACCAAGGGATAATGGATTTCCAGGCAAAGCTACCACTCTGGTATTCTATCTGAATGGTCCACACAGAGCAAATAGGGTGGGGTGCACTCACCCACTGACCAGTGATTGCTGTCAGCAGAATGGCACTAAGGATAAGGAAAAGGCTGAGGTTCTCAGTGGCTTCTTTACATCTGACTTTAAAAGTCAGATCAGTTATCCTTGGGGTAGTCTACCCGCTGACCAGGAAGCTTGGTATGGGGAGCAGAACAAACCCCCTACAGTTCAGATGGAAACAGTTAGAGACCTACTACTCTACCTAAGCGTGCTCAGAGAGCTGGCAGAGGAGACAGCCAAGCCGCTTTTCTGCTTTCTATCAGTGTTCCTGGTCCTCCAGAGGACTGGAGGTTTTCCAGTATGACTTCCATCTACAGAAAAGTTTGTAAGGAGGATCTGGGGAACTACAGGCCCGCTGGCTTGATCTTGGTGCCAGAGGAGGTTATGGAACAGATCATCTTGAGTGAGATCACATGGCATGTGTAGGACAACCAGGGATCAGGCCCAGCCAGCATGGTTTCATGAAAGGCAGGTCCTGTTTAACCAGCCTGATCTTCTATGATCAAGTGACCCTCTGGATGGATTACGGAAAGGCTGTCAACACAGTCTACATAGACTTCAGCAAAGGCTTCGACACCATCTCCCATGGTGTTCTCCTAGAAAAGCTGACAGCCTGTGGCTTGAACAAGTACACTCTTTGCTAGATAAAGAACTGGCAGAAGGGCTGGGCGCAGGGTGGAGGTGAAAACATTTAAACATTTAAATACAACTGGCAGTCCATCGGGAGTGGTGTTCCCCAGGGGTTGGTACTGGGGCCTGGCCTATTTAGTATCTTTGTTGATGACCTGGACAAGGGGATTGAGTGCACCCTCAGTAATTTTGCAGATGACATCAAGTTGGGTGCAAATGTGGATCTGCCTGAGGGTAGGAAGGCCCTACAGAGGGATCTGCACAGGCTGGATAGCTGGGCTGAGGACAATGGGATGAAGTTAATGTGACCAATTGCCAGGTCCCACACTTTGGACACTACCCCAGGCAATTGTATAGGCTTGGGGCAGAGTGGCTGGAAGAAATGTACCTGGGGGTGTTGGTTGATGCTTAGCTGAATGTGGGCCAGCACTGTGCCCAGGTGGCCAAGAGGGCTGATGGCATCCTGGCTTGTATCAGAAATAGTGTTGCCAGCAGGAGCAGTAAAATGATCATCCCTCTGTACTCAGCTCTGTTCAGGACACACCTGGAGTACTGTGTTCAGTTTTGGGCTCTTCGCTACAAGGTGTCCAGAGAAGAGCAATAAAGCTGTGAGGGGTCTGGAGCACAAGTCCTGTACTAAGCAGCTGGGTGAACTGAGTTTGTTCAGTCTGAAGAAGAGGAGGCTCAGTGAAAAACTCATCACTCCCTACAACTTGAAAGGAGGTTGTGGCAAGGTGGGGGTCAACATCTTCTCCCATGTAACTAGTGATAGGACAAGGGGGAACAGCTGTTCTTGAGGAAGTTCAGGTTGGATATTAGGAACAATTTTTTCTCCAGAATTGGCGAGAGGTGGTGAAGTCGCTATCCCTGGAGGTGTTCAAGAAACGTTTAGATGTTGTACTAAGAGACATGGTTTAGTCTGGAAATACTGGAGGTTGGTGGATGGTTGGACTAGGTGATCTTAGAGGTCTTTTGCAACTCTTCTGATTCTGTGATTCTATGGAATGACATTCTTGTGTTTATGAGACATGCAGACAGAGTGCAAAAAGAGCAGTGTCCCCTCTCCCAAGTTAATATTTAGAAAACGCTAATGCTACCTGTTTTTTTGTTTGTTGTTGTTTTGTTAGTTTGTTTTTCTTTTCATAAATACTTCCATTTTCATTGTTCTGTGTTTCCTGGAAAGCTTTGGGACTAAGCACTTCAAGCAATTTAAGTACAGTATTTAGCCCTTGCCTTACCATTCACTTTCTTGGCAGAGTTTGGCTTGCTGTTCTAGAGCATCTGATTACAGGATACATATTTTCAGTTTTAATTCCTTGGTGTGTCTTTTCTCAAATTACCTCTTTCCTTGCCAGCGGTGGAGGTGAGGTCCACCACAAAGTAATGACTAGCACTGGCCACGTGCATTCTTCTCCCTTCTTGCAGTCACTCAGCCCCCACCAAGCGCCTGTGTGCCAGATGCCTGTGTGGTCTTAACAGTAGCTGAGACAAACACAGAGGCTCTCAGACCGCTCTTATTTTTGTTACCTGCCTGCAGCTGGTGACATCCCACCAGCTCAATGTGTAGAGGCCTTATATCAGCCTCACAGACTGTTGGTGGCATAGCCACAGTGCCCAGAAAACTCCTAGCAGTTGATGCTGTGTCCAGTTAGTTCAAAACTGTGTTGCCATGTCCTAACTGTACTTCTGTATGTGTACGTGCTTGCTTTCTGCTTTAATTCCATATATGCAACAAATGCTGAATATAAAAGCAGGGAGGGCTTTGAAAGAGAGATCAACACCCTTTTCCTTTATGTATGTTTGTCCTTGCAATCCAACTGCTTGATTTATGGATTATGACCCTTGCAGCTGCTGGCAAGTTATAGCAGCGGACTGTGCTATGGTGCAGCAGTGAGGAGTAGTCTTCTCCAAGAGGAAAGAAGACCTTTTACGGAACTTTAGCTCTAGGAATAGAATTTTTTGAAGGTAGAATTGCAATTTTGCCAAAAATATATCTACATCTCTCTTCAAAGTGGCTTCCAGGAATACAAGTGGGAAGCAAGCAACTTACCATACCAACCTCCTTCCAGTTCTTGACAATTCAAGGCAAACCCTTTGGCTTTGTTCAGTGAAAGATGGCAGTAAGCTTTCTTTTTAAGAAGTTGGTCTCTGCAGCCAGTTCTGCCAACATGTGATGCACATTTCATTGCTGCCAGTCTAAATCTGCATTCTGTGCTGTGTCTCCCAAACGCTCTGGGGAGGAAATTAGCGTGATCACCATGGTACTGTTCTCCTGTGAAATCATCAAAGCCATTGTCCCCTTTTATACTTACTAAATGAATCCTTAGGGAAAAAGTCTTGAATTTGAAAGAGTGAAAAATCCTTTGTTCTTAGAAGTGTAATATCACCGCTCCAGGTATGTGATGACTGCGGGCAGCAGAAGGAGCAGAAGGCTGGCTAAGCAGTACTTCTACAAGAATGAATAAAATGGAGTCAACTTAAGTTAGATGTGTAGGACATGGCTCCCTGGCTGCTCTACCCAACACTTGTTTAATCTTGTTTTGCTAGGTGCTAGCAGCTTTTGGCAGTATGCAGTGATTAGTGCTCTGTGTCTTTCTGCACTGCTCCTCTGTGTATCCTGGGGCTAGGATTAGGTTACAGCCCCGAAACAGCACAGTTGTCTGCATTGACTGAGAGGTGAATAGGAAGGGCAGAGTGGTGTTGATGGACTGAAATGTCTTCTGTGTTTGTTTCCCTTCTCTGGAGGAGGGATGACATTATTTTCATTTGTAGTCTCTCTGTCCCTGACCTAAACATGTGGTATCCAATTTCCTTCCCTGGCAGGTGACCTGGAAAATGAGGACTGGTGTCTGGGTTCAGAACTGACTCCAGCAGCAATAAAGACTGAGCCAGCGTTGTGCGAGACGTCAGGCCTTGCTCCCTCTGTCAGTCTCACTGTCACTGCCATGTCACTGGATGGGGAACAAGCTGAGCTGCATACTGATGTCCTGGTACTTGCAGACTTTCTCTTCTTCTTTTCGTGCAATTAGATATAGATTCTCCTAGAACACTGCCTCCTCTGTGCCAAAGGCGTCATTCAGGTTTCTCATCAAGGTCTCTGCTTTAACATTTTCTAATGCTTGCTGGTATCTCACTACTGCTGTAGAGTTTGTGTTTCAAAACTCGTACATGCATCTTTATGTCTTACTGGCTGGATGCAGTTTTCTTTTATGACAGACAATGCAAACGCCTGGAGCTGATGCTTTTAAAAATTATTTAAACAGTCTCAAGTGAACCGGGCATAGCTGAAGTGACTCATTTGTACTGTGGAGTCTGTAACAAGCTAGGAGTTCCATAATGACTTGCCTTAGCACTGCTGTGTCTTCCCCTAATCAGAATGAGACCCCGTGACTGAAGAGTTTTCCTTTTTGCTTGCTAAATCACTTTTTGCCAGGTCTGTCAAGCTCTGACACTTTGAGGTGCTGCTGCTTCCATACCAACTTGCCGAGTAAGAACAATTTATGATGCCCTTCTCCCATACCTGGAGCAGCCAGGGGGCATTCATGAGGGCTCAGTTTGACTGTGATTGAATTCAGGAGTTTGAATGGCAGCAGCTGATGGTTCCCCTTCAGTGGAGAAACTAACTGGTGGCTCACTACTATTGCACAAATTAATTACACTGTTTTTCTGGGAGAGATTTTGGCCACATTGAGCATGTTGAGGTGCCAGACTGACTTCCTTAAACCTAGGATTGTAGAATTCAGGCAGACTGGACAGCAGTTTGGCAGCCTGGTGAGCCAGCCTTGTCAACAAGCAAGTCAGATGTCCTCTAAATATAATTCAGCCACAGCCATCTCTATTACAGTTCCTCTGCATGGTGAAATGAACTTGGGGTCAATAACACAGTGCTCAGCATCTCACTCCTAGATGACAGTGGTTTCAGATGGGTTCTGCCTGCTGCCAGGAGCATTGCTGACTGCTCATACTGGCTGTGTAGTCCAATAGATCCTAGTGGCAGCTCTGTTGCTATGAGAAGTAATTTGAGTGGGTTGCTTGCTAGCTTTCAGTCTGAGATGTCATCTCTGAGGCATAATCTTTTATTTAACTAAATACAGTAATAAAAAACGCCACAGCAGGAATAGTCAGGGCAACATTTCCTGTAGCCTGGCTGGGCAGCATTTTCTGTAGCCTGGCTAAGCAGAACCGTGTGAAGCAGTTAAAGCTTTGCCTGCAGCAGAGTAGGAGAGGGAAATCTCTCCATTTATGGAGTATTCATCCTTGTATCCTTCAATTAAGATCTGAAGATGTGTGCTTTGGGTTTTCATGCTCTTAATTTCTCTTTTCTAGATGAAACCACTGAGCCAGAAAGCTCTTCCAGAGATTAAATTGGAGCCTCATGAAGTGGATCAGTTTCTGAATCTCTCTTCTAAGGAAGGTCTGTTAATTGTCTATCTAGTATGCAAGGGAAATGACCAGAATGCATGATGAGTGTACTTTACCCTGATTAAATATTTGGCTTCCTTGTTTGCCATGTTAATCCTTATGCTGAAGCTGATGCCTTCCAGGGATTTGAATCAGACTGCTAAAAAGCCAATCTTTCTGACCTATTTATGTGGGTTTTTTTTAGATTTGTTTTTGTTTTGCTCATCACAAAAAAAATTATCCCTATTTTGTCTGTGATGTGTTAACAATTACACAGTTGGTGGAGGGAGCTTGAATCTCCTTAACGTACCAAGATTATTTAGGTTAGAAGAGATCTTAGAAAAGAAGATTTCTCTTCTAGCCTAAGATGGGACTTAACAAGGCATACAAAACAAGTACAAGAGAAAACTTCACTAATTTAAATCTCTGCCTTGAGCTGCAAAAGAAAGCATGTGAGTTTATATTAAATTAAGTTAGAAGCATTTGAACATTTGAACATTTGAACATTTGTTTCAGTTCAGGTCTGAGAACCACCAGGGTCCCTTTGTACTATATAAATTAAGCAGTAGGAAGAGTGATGATCCCTTCACTTAGTGTAAAACACAGCTTTATGGCACATAATCTGTTGACCTAAGAAAAGTTTGAAAGAGCCAAATACTGAAATTTAAGAAGATAACTGCATCTCAGTTAGGAACGCTTGATATTCTGTTAGTGAATTCATTTCTGTAGATAAATAGAACTGCTCTAGGAAGGGACGCAACTGGCTTAGCAGCTAGGACAAAGGGAGTTTTTATCTTAACCTAAAATGTAGATGAAATTGCTTGATTTGTGAGCTTAAGGAACTTACTGTCTTACAGGAGAAAACAACTGCTAGAGTTAAGATGCTAGCCCACAAGAGCTCGTGTATAATGACTTCTGTTACTTTTTCTCCCTTCATCCTCCACCACTTGATTTTTTCAACTCAAATTTCTAAAACCTAGAAGAATCCAGTCCTCTATCTTCCAAGTGTAATTTCTATAAATTTACTTAAAACAAAACAAAACACCCCACAAAAAATGGATGTCCAAAACAGCCATAGTTAGTTGCTCATGTAATCTGAGTAGCTGAGACATTGTGCTCTTTCTCTTGATCCTGTCCCATTTGGTCGGCTTGCCAGTTGTAGCACAGGTTCTCTTGACTGCCAGAGCAGTGCAAGTTTGCTTATGGCTGTGGGTAGCAAAATGTTGAGAGAGATTCCTGGGGTTGCTTCTTTTGCTGCTCCTGGTCCAATAAAGCCTTCACTGTCAGGAGGTTGTCATTGCCAACCAGTTGTTTCAGAACAGACCCTTAGGGGATAGAATTTCTCTTTCCTTAACATATTATATGAACATTATCTTCTCTTGCAAAGTACTGGCAATGTGTTAAATCCATAGCAAGGCTGGGAAAGACTGTTGTTTTTGGAGAGAAGGCATGCCGGCTCAGAGCCCTCTCTGTTAATGTGGTTTCTGAAGCAGGGTATTGATGCTGGAGGCTAATACTTAAATCTCAAGGCTTTTGGAGGTGTGGAAGTGTAGGCAGAAATGACTGGAGCAGATGAGCATAGCCTTGTTTTGTCAGTTGGACCTAAAGATAGCTGCTGTGTTTCATTCCTCCTTTAGAGGCCTGCATGCTCTGAAGGTCTTCCAAATTTCCACATTTGCTTGATCCATCATTTAGCAAAGGGTCCAAGTCCTGGAAACTGGGTGGTGACTGAATCAATGGCTCTGGTGAAGGCTTATGTTAGCACTCCAACCCTTACGTTGTTGTATTTCTCTCTTGCCATGCAGCAGTTGATCCCCTGCATTTGCCTCCAACCCCTCCCAGCAGTCATGGCAGTGACTCTGAGGGAGGGCAGAGCCCAGCTAGATCTCTCCCTCCTTCAAGCCCAATTCAGCTGCAAGCCGCAGCTAAAGTGGCATCACGCACAGCTTCAGCACTCTCCAATTCCCCTCTCCTGACTGCACCACATGTAAGTTGAGCTGTTTTTTTTATTTAACATGTCAGTCGGTTTTTTCTGTTTTTTTTTTTTTTTTTTTTGGGGTGTGTGTGTGTTGTTGTTTGTTTTGCTTTTTTTGCTTTTAAATTACTGTTTTTTGCCATACATTTGCTAATTTCTGTTGTTCTTTGAATGAACCCAGCTCTGATCAAAACTGCATATCCAGTAATTCTTGTTCATTTGTCTATCCTGTTCCCACAGGGAATGACGTGTGCCTCTCTAACTGAGGCAGGGTTGAGCGCATTTATGAGGTTTCTTCCAGTCTGGATTGTGTTTTACATTAGGACCCAGCCCTACTGGGTTAATTTGTCCCTAATACATCTACATCTGTCCTCTTGTTGCTATGTCTTGGAAATCAAGTGGTGATTTTTAGGGAGGGATTTGCAGCACTGCTTCTCATTTGTCTCTTTCCCCGCTTGAGCCAAGAGAAGCTTTACTGGTGGCCTCAGTATGTTCAGAGCTGGGCTGAAAGCATCTCAGTCTCTAAATGGAAGCTATGTAAACGATCTTTACCCTCCGTTCCTTCCAGTTGCAAGAGACTGCTGAGTTAGTGTGCAGAGACTGTTCCCTAACACCTTTTCTCTGGGGCTGTGTGCACTGTGTTACATTTCTTCATTCTGTGACTTGCAGAAATTGCAGGGGACTGGCCCACTCATCCTGACAGAGGAGGAGAAGAGGACACTGATAGCAGAGGGGTACCCAATCCCTACCAAACTGCCCCTGACAAAAGCAGAGGAGAAGGTGCTGAAGAAAATCCGCAGAAAAATAAAGAACAAGGTAAATAATGTTCATTTAGCATCTTTGCTGGGTAATTCCTACTCAGCCTTCATTTAAAAATGTTGCAGTGTTTCAGTAGCAATGACCCCTAGTACTGCTGAATGCTGTAAGATGTCTTTTAACAAAGTATTTTTCTCTGTTCCTAAACACATCCATCACACTGTGACAGTGCCTCTGTCTAGGTATTTACCTGAACACTTAAACAATGGGGTATTTAGCAAGCAGGGTATCAAGTTGCTGTTGCCTGCCTCCATTTTAAAAACTGTTCGATCCTTTCCCTTATGGATAGGCAAAGGCTTGCGTGTTCTTTCCATAGTGTTGAAGGTGTTCTTTTCCATAGTTTCATGTTTTAAAGTCTGACTTTGTATTTCCTTGCCCTAGTCTTCCAATCGCAGAATCAGACCTTGACTTTTAAATGAATAGTTGACAACAAGGCTGTGAAAAGCCCTGCAAGTCTTCTCTTTCTCCCCATATGGCAAAGAGTTAGTGGAGGGAAGCATTTTTTCAGACTTAGCCAACTCACTCATTCTGGAGAATATTAGCACAGCTTTGAAGGCTGATGCATTCTGTTACTGGTTTTGCTGACAGAGATGTAAAGTTGCCCACACTGAATTGAAAAGTGGTCTAATTTTTTTTTTTTTTTTCCCCAAAAAATTGTAAAGTTTCCTTGCACATTTTGTCATGGACGTTATTAGAGACATTCGTACTGGGGGAAATTGCTAGAGGCCTTTTGGTTGAACTCCCTGCTCTGAATGCAGAGTAAGCTTAGATCGAGTTACTAAATGGCTTGTCCAGTCATGTTCTGTTCGAGTGATGGGTCCCCAGCTTCTCTGGGCAACCTGATCCATATGAAGCTGCTTTTCTGGATAAAAAATAAAATACAATCCTAATGTTTAATTGGAATTTCCTTTGTTGCAACTTGTATTTAATGTTCTTGTCATTTTGCTGTATACCTCTGAGAAGGTTGACTTAATCTTTGCTACAGCAATAGGATTCCCTCCTTACCTTTATCTTTTAAAATCTGAACAAACCCAGATTTCTTTGCCTCTGTTGATACACCATGTGCTCCAGCATAGTTATTGTAGCAGAAGCTGTCCTCTGGACTTGCTCCAATATGTCTGAAGTATTTATTTCAAGGTCCCAAACTTCATGTAGTTCTCAACTGTGGTCTTGCAGGTGCTGAGTAGATGGGAAGAGATACTTCTTATAATCTACTGGCTACACTCTTGTAACATAGCTCAGCTCTGGTTGACATTCTTTTTTATGGGGGCGTATTGCTGACTTATGTTTCACTATTGTCTGTCAGAATCCCCAAGTCTTTTTCTGCAAAACTGCTTTCCAGCATATGCATGGGTTTTTCTTTGACCAGAAGCAAGACTTTTTCCTGGCATTGTCTTTTAGTATTTGTGCTAGGATATTCTCTGCAGATGAATCTGATTTGCTTTTTAAGGTTAATTTTCTAAGAGCAGCGAGTGATCTTTTTGTACTACTGAGAGGAGCTGTCTTGCTTCAGGATGTGGAAATGGACCAAGACAGTGCCTTGCTTGCCAAGAATAGGAATGAGAATAGCACTGAAGCTTGAATCTAATAATGTCAGGCCTTTTTACTAGTTTATTAATTCATCTTTGCTGCTTTTTTTTTTTTTTCTTTTCAAATATTTGGTGTTTTGCTTCCCTTTTCCTTAGATCTCTGCCCAGGAAAGTAGAAGAAAAAAGAAAGAATACATGGACAGCCTGGAAAAAAAGTAAGCCAGCCCCCTTCCTGTTTCAAATGGGCCAATAGCACTGTTTGCTGAAATGGGACGGGATCCATGCTGGGACTGTTGATGCTGGGACTGTTTTGTGCAAAAGTTCCAGCTGCCATCTCGTGGTTGTGACTGAGAAAAGGCCCTTCTTTAGTCTGCTTGTACTTTTGCTGAGATGCTGCATACAAGGTGGTGCATGTTGATGGCTATGCCTGCCACCAACACAAAGCTAATGTGCTGGCAAATACCTTAAACCTCAAGGAAGACAAGACCTATCTACTATTAGCCTTCCACTCGGGCAAATGTGCTAGTCTAGTGGATAGGCATTGCCCATGGAAAAGTAGGGTTAGGGTGAATATAGTCTATCTTCTGGTACAGATGTAGACAGAAATAGGAAGTAAGTGAGCCAAGACTTCCTGGGAGAATAAGCAGGGCTCGGAGAAAGAACATGTAACTAATTGCCTTCCTTTAGCAGGAAAAGGCCAATCCTTAAATCACTGTAAATCACTAACTGAGGTTAGTGATTTATATCCCAGTTTAATCTTTCTTGTAAGAAAGAAATGTTTGGTATTTTTCTTATGCACTTCACCAGATGGATCTACTAAAACCCATGCATGATTTTTTGTGATACCCTCAAGGTAATTTCCTTTTGTTCAAATGTCTTTATGGATGAGCCTTGGTTTCTCAGAGTCAGACTCGTGTGAAATTCTAGCATATTTGTGCAGACTGGGAAGCATTTCCCTTTCCCTTTTTCCTTACATAGCTACTCAAGGTGGTCATACGTGTCTTACAGGAGTTCCATATTTTTATTTTAACTTCTTGTGTAGCAGGTCATATGATAATATCCTTTAGTTTAGGTGGGTTTCCTGGAACAGTGAAGAAACGAGTGTTCTTTTGGAAATAAATCTTCTGGCTTATTAGCCTCTGTAAGCATGAAAGTCAAGGATGTGATTTCAGAAGCATGGCATTTGTTGAATTACTTAGTGTGGTACCTAACAATGAAATGCACACATAGAACACTCTTGCACAAAGTAATTGCTAACAACATAATCAGAGCATATTCAGTAACATTTAAAGTATCTGTCTTGTGGTCTGATGCGCAGAGAAAGTCATAGCAGGGTCTTCCTTATTGCTATTTCAAGGACTAAAAAATTGTTACAGACCACCCTGAATAAACTGGACCTAGTGGGGTATAGTTGACCAGCATAGACAGATGTTCTATAGCTAGTAGCATCTATTGCAGTGCCTGCAACACCATGAAGCAGGATTTAATATTATGACTGAATTTAGTTGGCGTAGCTTTTTCATTAGGTATAGGAAAAATCATAGAGCTCACTGTGAAAGTAGATTTGGGTTGTTTTACAAGTTTTTGAATGTAAAAAACAGACATTTATTAATCTTTCCTTGTGTTGTCTCCAGAGTTGAGAACTGTTCAAATGAAAACAGCGAGCTACGTAAGAAGGTTGAAGTCCTGGAAAGTACTAACAGGTACAGTATGAAGGGAATAGAAAAAAAATAAAAATTAGATGAGCATGACAGTAAAAAAGTTAAATCCAGAAATTAAGACACATTGAAATGTGAAGAATAGCTGTATCTGATCTGGTTAATATCAAAGAAAGATGATGGAGAGTGGTTATTGTGACTGTGCAGTGAGATGTAAGACATAGGGGCTTTGATGTCAGCTCTTAAACTGTCTTCCTAGCCTGTGGTGTGTTTCCCTTTTATTACCCTTCTTTGTGTTCTTCTTTTACACAAGGAAACATGGTTACTGATAACAAACAAAAAAGTGCAACTCTCCAAATTGTCTTTTGTCAGTGAAAGTCTGCTTTGACAGAAGGCCTTGACCTGGAACATGACACTTTGAGACCTTAGTTGCTTAGTTGCTCTGAGTCAATGTTAGTTTATTCTGGACTGTTAGATATCACTGCAATTGTTGAACGCTGTTCTGATCATCTGACACACCATTAATATCTTTCACTTTAGGAAATACAACTTCCTTTGTGAGGATAATCAGTTTCTCATTTCTTCATTTCTGAAGAAAGTGGTGTCTCAGTGGTAACTTTTTCAAAAGATGTATAGCAGAAAATTATCTATAGCTGAGCTTTGAATTGGATATTAGCCAAGAGTGGAGTGTTAGTCATGGCTTGTGCTCAGTGTGTTCTCTAATGAACACAAATTCCAATGAGTAGATACTAGATGAGCCCACTGTTAATACCTTTTGCTTAGAGGCATTTGAAATGATGGTCGCATACAGCCACTGAACATGATGGTAGCAGTGAAGTGTGGGAGAAAGCTGGATTTTATAGATAAGACCCACAATCATGAAAAATAGCCCTAAAGGTTATCTGGCAGCCAATGTATTGCTAATTGAGTGGCATGTGTTGTTTCTAATCTCTGGATCCGATCTCTAATTTCATGGAGCGAGACCCTCTAGCACTGTAATTTGCTAGAGAGTGTCTCCCACACACTGCTCATGCATACAGACATCTGCTGCTTGTTTGAAGGGAGCCAATCCATTTCTGTCCCTTCTGTATCTTCCTGCAGGGCTTTATGTAAAAGAGCTAGGAGTTGTTCTGTAGGTGTTGAGTAGAGTTGTCTCTCTCAGAATCTGTTGCAGGAGGTACTGAAAACAACTGCTATAAGGAAGAGTGCAGCTGTGAATGACCACTCGGGGAAAACCTGTTCTCAAGCCTGAAATTTTCTCCTCAGTTTGGCTAAATTTGGTCAACTTTTTACATCTCTTGAGCAGGTGAAGATACAGTCATGAGAACTGCTCTGTTAATATTTCTCAGTTTTTTAGGCAGGGCCTTGAGCATCTTCTTTGTTATTTTATTATCTTCATAGCCTAATGCTAACTGCTTTAAAATTATTTAGCTGTCTGTGTGATATTATCCCTCATACTCAGAACGTATGCAATGAGTTATATCGTTTACTTTCCTATGCAAGAGCACCAAAAGTAATCTGCAGTGTCCTGCAGAGAAGCAGTTGTTCCTGACTCTGTGCACAAAAATTCTTGTATCTCACGGTGATGCTGGTTTGATATTTAGATACAAACTGTACCTAAAAACTGCTAAGGCTGCAAATTTGAGTACTGAAAAATTTGTTGAAGTTCCTGCTTTCATCAAACCTGAATTATGTAACACCTAATTGTCGTGTTTTGTTTTGTTTTTGTTTGGATTGGTTTGTTTTGCTTTGGAGATCTCACCCCAAAGAGCCACTTTTTCTGGTTTAGTTTGTGGCTGTGTTAACTTGTTCAGAGAATGGTTCCAGACCCTTTTTTGATGTGCGTCAGTTGCTTTCTACAGTGAATTCAAAATGACTGGTTTCCTCATTGGTACAGAGCATTGATGTGTCATTCAGAAGCTATGCAAATGTTTCAGCATCCTGTGACTGGTGCTTCCATCTCGTACTTAGGCAGGGATCAAAGCTCGTGAAGAAGTGAAGGTCACATTGTGCTGTGTCAGTTTATTCTTGGATGCTCAAATTTAAACACTTAGGACCTTGTTTTTCTAAGTTCCTAGCACACAGTCATGCACACATATAACTTACTTAATATGCCCAAAGCATGGACCCAGTTGACTTCAGCTGCAGCTTTGAGCATTTAATGCAGTAAAAAAAATGAAGACTTCTTTTAAGGCTTCATTTAAAAGTAGATCTACAAGCCTTATAGCTGCTTTTTATTTGCAGAAAATCGGAAGACTTGAGAAAGATAACAGGAAAATAACACTGATTACATATGGAAATGCTCATACATTCAGTGTGGATGAAGCCAAAGTTGTTGTACTGTTGGTTTTTTTTTTCAATGTTGTTGGAAAATTGAGCTGTAGCTGCTCACTTAAAAGTTTATGCACATGTATGTGCAGTCAGTGTTGTGTTCTTATAGTCTGGCTGGAGCTGAGAGGAACTGACAGGCAATGCCCTAAATATATTAAGTAAATAATAAATATATATTATAATAATATATATAATAAGTATATATATAAGTATAATAAGTATAAATTAAGCAGCAGAGTTTTCCTTCTGTATCTGCAACCAGTATTTCAGAGCATGTTGTTATTCTATATATAGAACAAATTTTACACTGATACATACCTAGGACCTCAGGGAAACCCTACTTACGTCTTGAAGTCTGGCTCCAAACCATGGAAGCACTGCAATTTCTTCTGCTAAAAGAGTAACATGAAAAATTTTGGAAGAACCTTCCCTGAGAGACTGCCTTAGCCTGAAATTCTGGATCTGAAAAGATTTGATGTAAAAGGTGCAAATGTGGTCCAAAAAAATTGCATCCAAAAGTATCTTCTTTGCCTTTCATATATCTTAAAAGGAAGGCAGGAGTCTGGGGATCAAGATGCAGGGGAGTTTTTAATTCTCATTAATGTGAGTGGGTGCCTGCAACATTTTTGGCTTCTTCAGGATTAGAACACTAGCATATGTTTCCTCTCCTAATTTAAGTGACTCAGTCTCTTACAAGAAACCCATCCAAGTTTCTTCCTAAGGAGTTTTCTCAAAACTACAGGAACACATTATTACATGTGTGTTTGTTATGTCTTGTAGCCACAAGTGAGTCAGGATCTTATTGGCTTTGGGGCACTGCTGTCTTAGAAGGGTGTGAAAAAAAGCTGGCATCAAGACTTGAACTGACTTGTCTCCCTTGCCAAGAAGGCTTGATCCATTCGTCTGGTGACACTGGGACTTCACAGAAACTGCCATTAGTCTAGGCTTTGATTGTGCTCTATGACACCAGTGTTGTCCAGCTGGGAGCAATGACTATTTGGGCTAAAGACAGTATTGAAACACCAGGTATTGTGTGTGTGATGTATGAGAAGTACCTTTGTTTTTCACTTCTATTAAATCTGGAGTTATAAATATACTGATGGCCACTTTTCTTTTGGTAGGAAGAAATAGGTAAAAATAGGAATTAGCATGTGATTGAGAGTGTAAATATTGTTGAAACGCATGAATAATGCATGCAGGTAGATGCTAGAGTTGCTCTGGTGAAGTAATGACTAGTAAGTTGTGCAGATATCCACTCTGACAAGTATCTCAAAGGCAGTGGCTTTATAAATACAATTGGCATGGTTTTGCAGTGTTTCTGCTCCTGCTTAAGCCATTGTTGTAACTCCCAGTCAAACTGAATATTGTATCAGTCTGATCCACAAGGGTTTGTCAGCACCAAAACTGCCAGACTTCACTGGTTTACATGGCTGTTCCTTCATTTGAAGCTGATAAGCCTATTTGACAAATCTTCTTCAAGAAGAGAAGGATCTGGATTTAAGTTACAATGAGACATCTTGCACTTCATACCACCTTCATAACAGCTGACCAAGGTTGGCAGCTCTGGAGCAACTTCTTGTTTTTCAAGCATCAGGACAATGTTTTTATGCTGAAGTGTCTGATGAAAAAAAATAGTGGGTTTTCATGTTTATAATTCAAGTGAGAAAATTAGTGGATTTATTTGTTTTGCTTTGGAGTACTCTGATTTTGCAATGAGAACCTTGCCTTTATAGGACAGGCAGAGGAGTAATTATGTGTAAAGCTGAAAGAAAAGAGAACATTTTTTCTCCGTTTAAAATCAAAGCTAAGTTTTTTTCCTCAAAATACTGCTTTGAGGAATACTATATTGAGGAAGCCTTCCAGGTGACTAGGTCCTGTGGTGACAAATTTTCTCTGCTGACTGAAAACATCACTGGAAGCAAAGGGGAAGCCTTGACTTGTTCCTTATTCTGGTAGTGAAAAGTGTCCTTTTAGAGAGGATTTTGTGAATGCACACATGAAAATAAGACATCATGGGCAGAGTGGATTTGCCGGGAGTGCTGGAAAAGAAAGCAGGAGTCTTCAGTTATTTTACAGCTTTCCTATGAGGTGCTTCTCTTGGCAGGGAAAAGCGCGAAAGCACGTTCACACCTCCTGGGGAAGTGACCCTCTAATTGAATATCACTGGGAAATGTGTCAGACATAGTGAAAATAATCCCTGTAGGTACAAAGCCCCTTATGCATGCTGCTTTGGGATTGCATTTTCTCTTGCTAGGATTTAGCCACTGGCAGTGTGTTTCAATAAGAGCATCTTGGTCTTTCTACTGATACTGTTCTTCAGTGCAGAGAACTGCTCCAGAGAACTGTTCCTTACCTTCTCTTCTTAGTCCAGATCATTCCTGCAGTCATCCACTAGCAATGAAAGCAGCGTGCGTGTGGGAAAGAGCTCTTCACCTTGTAATCCAATCTTCCAGAATTTCCTCTTCATATAGAAAAAGAATGCTCTCATTTTGATGATGGCAGTGTAAACTGCCATCATATAATAAATATCTGAGCAAATCAACTTGCTTCTTGCTCTCACATCAGCTTTTGCTACTAGTTTGAAAAATGCCCCTGTAGCCTGTCATCTCCAACCACTGAGCCTGTGTCTGCTGAGAAGATCACAGAAGCTCTGTTCAAGCAACTTGGCAGAGAAAAACATTTTATTTGAATGTAGTTGGTCAGAAAGGTGAGAGATGTATCTTTTATGAATACCTGCAAAATTATGTTTTTCAAAATGAACCTTTTGGAATCAGTGCTCTGGGTCCACTCTTCCCAACAGGACTTTTTAATGGGACTCAAAATAGCAGAGATGAGCAAAATTACATGTTCTCTCTATTGATATTCTCACCATCCATTAGCTGTTTTCTTCCTTATGACTCCACAAAAAGTGGCAAGAGTGATCAACTTTTCAAGTTTGCAGCCCCCAAGCCGAGGAGGGAGCTCCTTCCTTCTCATGCCACACAGCTCCTCTCTGTCAACCCCAATGATCACAGAATCACAGAAACACCAACATTGGAAAAGACCTACAAGGTCATCCAGTCCAACCATCCACCTATCACAATAGTTCTCACTAAACCATGTCCCTCAATACAACATCCCAATGTTCCTTGAACACTTCCAGGGTTGGTGACTCCACCACCTCCCTGGGCAGCCCATTCCAGCACCTGACCACTCTTTCAGAGAAGCAGTATTTCCTAATGTCCAGCCTAAATCTCCCCTGATGCAGCTTGAAGCCATTCCCTCTAGTTCTATCCCTGGTTACATGAGAGAAGACAAAGAGCCTCAGCTCACTACAACCTCCCTTCAGGTAGTTATAGAGAGCAATGAAGTCTCCCCTGAGCCTCCTCCAGACTGAACATTCCCAGCTCCTTCAGCTGCTCCTCATAAGCCCTGTGTTCCAGACCCCTCACCAGCCTTGTTGCCCTTCTTTGAACACGCTCCAGGGCCTCAATGTCTTTCTTGCAGTGAGGGGCCCAAAACTGGGCACAGTACTCAAAGTGTGGCCTCACCAGAGCTGAGTACAGGGGGACAATCACTGCCCTGTTCCTGCTGGCAACACCATTTCTGATGCAAACCAGGATGCCATTGGCCTTCTTGGCCTCCTGGGCACACTGCTGGCTCAGCACTGATCAGGCCTGTAATGGTTTGGGGGGTATTTAGTCTTCCATAACAGCATGGAAATGACAACACATAGCTAGCATTGCTATGTAACGTGGCATATGGTGGGAATACTGTATGCAGTGTGTACTGTGCCATAAAATGAGATATCCTCTGTATGTAAATCTGTGTGATCCCTGAGCAGTGAAGTGGGTAGGAGGGAGAGACTTCCAAGAGATGTTAGCAAAGAGAAGGGTGTTAGAATGGTCTCATTGACATGATGGATGTTGTTTTCATCTCTTAATTTGTCTGTGGTCTATAGCAGTGAATGAAGGACTTAATTAGACACATCAATTTCTTTTTTTTTAATACCTACCTGCAGAATAAACTGGGTTCTCAAGAGCATGCAATACATCCTTCCTTAATAAGCTGGAACGGATCTGCTGGCCCAGATAAATCTGTGCTGTGAGCATGCCTTGTGCTCATTTCAAAATGCAATCCTGAAGTCCTTGAATACATTAAACTCTAATTAGCAATGGTCATTGATGATTAAAAAAGGTCTATAATAATAGGAAGACAAGTGTATATTGAGCCATAAAGGCACCTCTGGGTCTGTCCTACAATTAGCTTTTAGCAAGTTTGATCTTAAAATATTCCTTCTATTTTCTCTGACATCCTAACCTTGCCTCTTGTTCTAGTATTTGGCGTCATGGTCTCCAAAATTGTTGCCTGGAGTTTTATGGGGGTTACCCTCAGAAATAGTGAGGCTTACATAAGAAGCAAAAAGTAGAATTGGAAACAGCAAAGTCAACGTCTTGATGTAACATTGCACGATATTTGACTGTATCGAGGACAGGTGTTTGGGTTATTCCTTCTCTGTTGTAGAAAGTTCAAATGAAAGTAAAACGGAAACTCATGAAAACCCAATGCCGGTTATTCTTTGGGATCATCTCCCAATTAAATGATAATATCCTGACTGTAGCCATTGATGATGCTATAGCAAAAGAAAATCAGCAATTGAGGCAGAAGAATACCCTCCTGGTCCATAACAGTTGACTCAAACCAGAAGAGAATTACTAGTGTGGTTGTTACCTCTGAAAGGCACGGTCAGAGTAGCTGCTTCAAGCCACTGTGGTTTTGTAAACTCCTGGAGGATTTAGCAAATAGCAGTGAAGTACTTTATTTAGCAAATGCATTTATGGGAAATTAAGTCTGTGCTTTAAATCCCTTTCTTTAAAAAAGGTCCAATTCACCATACAGTGAGTTTTCAGAAAAAGGGTGTAACAGTGTACTTCTACCACCAGTAACAGCAATTAGAAATTGCTCTTGCACCATTTCAAGTAACTGTGAAACTCCTGCTCAGTTCATGATACAGAATGAGGCTGTATAAGGAGTCACTCACTTGCACATAGAGCAATCCCTGTTGTTCACACATGTACTAGAATTTCCTAGAGAAAGTCTGAAAATAGTTTTTTTATTTGTAAGAACTTTCTGAATAAGGTAAAGAAGTCATTGTTCAGGGATTTCAGCTGAGGGAAAAGCAAAAGATCTTTTTGAAAGATCCATTGCTAATCCATGCAAGAATTTTGTAAAAATTAAACTCATTCCTTACTTCTAATTTCAAGGGGAGGACTTTAGTCATCTGTATCTTATTGTAACTGCTAAAAGTATTATTGCCGGGTGTAGAATTTGAAGCAAAAACAAGTAGATCAGGACATCTGATGCTCACATCTGTTGTCTTTGCTTTCCAGAACACTTCTGCAGCAGCTGCAGAGACTCCAGGCCATGGTTGCTGGGAAGGTGTCCCGTTCATGTAAGGCAGCTAGCACACAGACAGGGACCTGTCTTATGGTGAGTACTCTCTAAAGCTGGGGATTGTAGAGGAGTGAGGTTCTCTTTCCACTGTTCAAAAGCACAGCTCCTGTTCTGCTAAGCCCCTCGCTTACAAATTCTCAGGTTGGGATATTTCTCTTGATAGTTTAACAATTCATTCTGAGGGAGGTGGGACTTCTGACTGGTGAAGGAAAGGCATTACATTCTGTTGGAGACTGTGCCCGTGTTTTTGCTGGGCTGCTGCAGTGCTAAAGGAAGCAGCTCTGCTCATCTGGGTGACCTGTTTTATTATTTCCTACATTTTTTTTAATGTTAGAAATGGTGTCTAGTGCTGTAAAATGAAAATGAGGGTGCCCTTTGATTTTCAGATTTTAGATACCAGGAAAAATAAACTTTTAAATCTGAATAAAAATATGACTAAGGCTGTAAATCTAAGTCTGCTCTATTTCAGTAATGTCTGTCAGGATAAGAAGAGGGTTAGAATGAAGCTCTTCCTTCCTTACACCCAGCCAACAAGTTCCCTTTATGCTAGTGCTATAAATTGATGGAAATTATATTCAGGGCCTTTGCTGTTCTCATCGGCTGCCAGCCTCTCTGTCACTTTCAAGCAAGACTGGGGCCAGCAGCAGAAATAACCTTGGAAATTCCCAACAGTATCTGTAAAACACACATGCCAGTTGTGTCTGCTTTTCAGCTTTGGGAAAAAATAAGGCAAGAGGCCAAAATGGTGTCAGACACTGAAAACAAACTCCAGCATTAAAGCACAGAATTTGTTCTTGTATCTGTGCCTTTGCTAAAAGGTGCTGTAGGTAGTGACAAAAATAGCCTCAAGTCACTTGTTTTGATAACGTATCAGATCTGCTTTGTGTCACTTTTTTGTTTTGATGCAGATGTGGCACTGAGGGACCTGATTTAGCAGGCATGGTGGGGATGGGCTGATGGATGGATCCTAGTGGTCTTTTCCAACCTCCATGATTACCTAACCTCTTTCTCTTTTTCCCTGTGCCAGATGGTGGTGCTGTGCTTTGCAGTTGTTTTTGGCAGCTTTTCTCAGAGCTATGGACCATATCCTTCGGCTACAAAGATGGTGTTGCCCAGGCAGCATTCCTCACCAGAGTCCTACACAGACTCCATTGGTAAGTGACCACCACCAATGTCTTGTTTCTTGTTTAGTTGCTCTTCAGCACTTGATTTTCACCCACATCCCCAAAGCCCTCCCCAAGCACCTCTTGCTCTTCTGCTACTTAGGTGGCTGTACGTTGATATACTTGTGGTTTTCAGATGATATCTTGGCAAGTTATGCTGATGGCATTGAACTTAATAAAGATCAGAAAAGCCTTCCCCCCCCCCAGTTGGCTTTGTACTTCAGTTTGAAGCCTGTCTGTTTCTGTTTGAGGAACTAAAGAACTAGTCTTTAAAGGTAAAAGGTAGCAGGAGAGCTTGATTTCTGCTCCTTGCTACATCCTTGCTACTGTCAGTAAGTGCAACTATCAGCTGTTATTTCCTGTGCCAGTGTTATCTGAGTGTCTAAGGACTGAATGGGAAGCTTAGTAGTATGTAGCAGTTAAGAAGTGGTAGCATTAAATATTATTAAAGTGATTACTTCATTTAGCTCTTGTTCTCTGAAGAGTTCAGAACTTTTTTGATCCCTACTGAACCATTGCTGCAGTGTCTTCCCACAGCTATCAAACCACCAATTAATTGTGACGAAAAGACCTTTGCAGCTCTAGTTCTGCTCTGATGATTTCCTGAGATGATCAGGGCTGCACTCTTTGCCCAACCTGTTGCTCATCTCGGTTTTGCCTTCTGTCTTTGCATCCAGTGAGGTCACGGAGTCTGCTAATTTATGAAGAGCCTCACCAACTGGAGGAGTCGTCGAGCCCGATCTCATCTGCAGATCGAAACGACAGGCATGCAGACAGCAGCAAGTATGCGGCGCTAGCTCTGGAAGCTGTGCCAGTGATGCAGAGGGATGATATCATGGAGTTCACAATAGCCAACGAGACACGGCTAGAGAAATCAGTGCTGCTGGGCTTGCAGCAGCACAGGTGAGTGCGTGGTGGACTGCTTGTGAGTGAGACAGGTGTTTGAAGTCTCTGTCATGGAGGCCAGCAGTAAGATGGTGCTGTTCTGGGCACAGTGCAACTGGAAGTAGCAGTTTGGCCTCTGTCTGAGGAGCTTATAGGCAAAGATACTGTCACCCTCTTTTGGAGAAGTGAAAATGTGTATGTATAATACTCTAGTAACAAAGCTACTGAACTCAGTGGTAGCCCCTATAAGCCTGTTAGTTTTGCCTCCTCCACTTCTTTAAGCACTTACGTGCACGTCCCCTAAAGGAGTAAGCTTTTGCCATTCGGGTGGAAGTGTGAGGCTGTGACTCATGGGGCTTTGTAAGAAGTTAGGGTGTGAAGAGCTTAAACTTCCCACAGCAGCAATCTTACTAATGCATGCTGTGGAAAGTTAGCAGGATTTGACTTAGAAAAAAGAAAACTTGTCAGGTTATCTGAACTACTTAACATGAAATTCTTTCATAATTTTTTTTTTTTTATCATGAATTTATATTTGGGTCCTCTGCAAAGAAAGATTCACTGGTTAAATATATGAGTATGGTTTTTCTTCCACTGTACCTTTACTTGTCCTGCTACCGTTCTATTGCCTCAGGTCTTGGTCTCTGCTAACAAGCAATAGCAAACACACCAAACAGTTGGATTGTGTTTAGAGGAGTGCTTTTCAGAGGTCTAAGTTGAGTGATGTCATCCTAAGAATGCCTTCTGAACACTTGTATCAGAGTTATACCAGGGCCAAAGAGATGACTAATTCAGTGTGTTATCATATCCAACTGACAAGTGCCTGTTAAAATGCTGAGTGCCTTTTTTTGCATTAGCCAATTTGAGCAGAATGTGCACTTTTAAATATGACTGTTAGTGTTAACCTTTGTTGTTGCTTTTTTTTTCCCTACAGAGTCAACTCTGAAATTGAAGGAAATGAAACACTGAAGATAATTGAAATAGATAGAAGAGTCAATGCCACCTCTTAAAAATAAAAAGGCCTTTTTTCTTGACTTCCCTCTTTCCCAGATACTTTCAACCAAAGTCCCCCTGACTTGTCATCCTTAGTGAACCAAAGCACAAAAGAGGGAGTTGACCAAATTCTGCATTGACTGGTGAGACTGTGACTGCAGATGGAATCTCTTGTCTTGTGACTCCCTTCCTTACTTCACACAATCCCTATATTTGCTTTTATTTCTTTCCTGTCTGGTAATACAAGGGCAGGGTTGAATTATTATGATTGCAGATGATACCAGCAGTGTGCTGATGATCGATCTGTGTATGTGTGCCAGTGCTTGCATGTATACATCATCATCTGTGCATAAAGTCATTGGGTAGAAGAGTGGAATATGCAAAACTGATGGGAGCAAGTGGTTGATGGGTTTCTTTGGAGAAGGCAATTAAGAGAAATAGGAGAGGCAGTGTGATGCTGCTCAACTTTAGTCACGGTTCTATGCTCACTGGTCTGTAGAACTTGAGCCTTTTTTGGAGGAGTGAGAAGCATATGTTTCATCTGCCTTTGAAAGCACAAGAATGGGCCCCAATACTATTTTGTTAACAGCACAGGCAGGAGAGGTATGGACAGTGACGGTGCTGAATCATCCTCCCCTACATCTTTGTCTCTTCTCCTCACCAGCCCCTATGTCATTTAATGTAACAGGTTTCTGTTTGCACTGGAAGCAAACGTGGTAGGTATCCCTACTTCTTCTACCCTTATGGAATTCAAGCGAAGATCCATCACTGTCTTGTCACAATGTCTGGGACAAATGGAGTAATTTAACTGATTTTGTTTAGAAAGCAGGTTTTGTTAACTTCAGGCAGTGTTTTGGGTGGATGTTCCTTAGTCTGCTGAAGGCTAATCTGTTTAGTTCAGATCAATTCCTTCCCAATAAACTAAATCAATGTTAAGTCTTAAACCAGAAGTGCCTCCTGAGAGGACCGTATGGATTTTATTTATTGGCTTCTAGTTGCATTGATGGAATTTTTCGTGTAGACCAAGTCTTGTTGTGTTCTCCTTTTTTTTTTTTTTTTTTTTTTGCCATTTTCCTGTTACTGTTGTAAATAGTATTTATTAGCTTTGCAAGATTTTGTTCGAGGACTTATATTGGATTAACCTCCCCTAACCCTGCAAGTCATCTTGGCAAGCTCTGAAATTGGACATACAAATATCACAGAGCATCCCATTCCTTCCCTCTAAGCTTGAATTGCCTTAAAATAGTCGTAGGCCTCCTCTTCTTCATGTGTCCTTTTCCAGAGATGAGATCTTAGATCAACTGTTTAGCCAAATAAAATGCATACAATTCAGGCCTGGAGGCGGTTAGATGCTGTGCTAACATACAGCAAGTCCCTGACCTGAGGAGTTGGTATGTAGGCAGCAGACAAGGCAAAAAAGGAATGAGGCAGGCACACAGGGAGGTGAAGTGACTGCCCCAAAGTGTAGTGGATGAACTAAAGAACCATATTCAAATCTGATCCTAGTCCAGTCCACTTTTTACTTTGCCGTGTTTCCTTCTTCTCCCATGTAGCTGTTGCCTAAGACTTGTCCTTCTATTGCCTTTCTCATGCCTTTGTCTGAGTTGTGCTTCTTGGAATTTGTCCTTGGATTGGCACAGCCAATTCTAGCTCATGATTTGGGATTGCTCTTATTGCTACAGAATGTTACTCAGACTTCATTGAGGATGAATTTAATGTGAAAAATCTTAGTTCAGCAGGCTAGCATAGCTATTTTACAGTTTAACATAAGTCAATTTAAAAAAAGAAACAACAAAACAATTTTGTAGCTCTATTTTTTTCCCCTTGTGATAAATAAGGGAAAAACTAACTAACTTAGCCTTACAAGTAATTTTTTACTATGTACAGTAGTTATTTCCTGCAAGTATTCTATTTTGTAAAATATTGGATTTGTATTTTATTGTAGCAGCTGCCACACCTGCTCCTTTCTTGTTCTTCATTCTCTTCAGACTTTCTTTCTTTAGTGTCCTATTTGCTATCTGCTCTTAGGCCTAACTCAAAGCTCAAAGAAAGAAATGGAAAGAATTTGGTGGACAGCAGTGGGCTTTGGTTTGCCCTCCCCTTTTTCCCCCCGGGCCATTTTCAGAAGGTATTTCACCATAGTGAGAATGAAATGTATGCGTGACTCTATGAGCTGATAGTGAGTGTTGGCGTACGGATGTACTTTTACTTTATGTCCTATTCATCTATGCAAGTGCCTTTTTACTAATTTACCTTTGGTAGAAATGAGAGAAGAATGCTGTCTTAGACCATTTTGCAAGAATTCCCTTCTCGGCATGGATCAGTGAACCTTTAGAGCTTCTTTCCCTTCACAACTATCCTGTTCAGTCCTCCACATCATTCTAGTACCCCACAATGGCTTTTGGATGTTTTTTTGAAGCCAGGCTTCACCTAAATAGCAAACACTACTAATTGGTGTCACTGACAACATCACAAGGGAGATGGCTGTGTATTTCAGCCACATGAGGTCAGCAAAGAGTCACAGAATCATGGAATGGTTTGGGTTGGAAAGGACCTTTAAGATCATGTAGTTCCACCTCCCTGCTATAGGCAGGGACACCTCCCTCTAGACCAGGTTGCTCAGAGCCTCATCCAGCCTGGCCTTGAATGCCTCCATTAGCCTACATTATTTTAAATAGTGCTCCTTGAAATAGCATTAATCTAAGCAGGACAGCTATGTTGTCTCAGAGGTCGGAGGGGGCATTCACATCATCACTGGGCAACCTGTGCCAGTGTCTCAGCACCCTCATAGGAGTGTCAGGAGAAAGCTGGGACTGACCGTTTCGCTATGTTATAGCAGACCTACATAAGTGGGCAAGGTCGTAGCTTAGAATGTTCTGTAAGTGGTATTTTGGTTTCAGAGCACCCACGGTTTGCCACTTCTGAGTGAAACTGAATACTTGAGGCTTCTGCAAAAGGGGCATCAAACTGTCAAGCACAGCGTTGCTTTTAATCGGGTTGCAGTTTGCACTGTGCATAAACAGAAGGCCAAGCTGCCTGAGCTTGTGCCCACTGCCAGCTAAATGGATCACCTCTCATTGCAGATACTGCTGACTTCATTGTAATGAAGTAAAAATTGAATTTTTTCCCAGTACTTGGAAGAGACAATTTTGCAATACCCAAGTAAACTCCTTCTCTGAGACCTCCTTCAGTAAACCCTATTGATGCTTTGCCTTCTTACTTGCTTAATTTGGACCTATCAATTCAAATCTTAACAGGAGATAATCATGTTTTCATCTGAAACATTTTAAATTGGTCATATTCAGGGTCAGACCCTGCTGAACTAATTCATCTGAATCAGTCTGGCAACATTGATTTTAACTGCTGAATAATATGCTTCTATAATCTTCACCTGTCTCATTCTTTAAATAATTTTTAAGTACTCTCGGGAATCTCTTGAGCTAGCACACACATAGTTTGTGGATTTTATTATTAAATACTATTTCTTTATAATAAGGAAATCCTTTGCTTTACTTCGGTATGTTTGTGACCATTTTTCTTTAACAACCTTAATTGAACAGATTTCTCTTTGAGACAGTAGGAGCCAAGTATCTCCCATCATCACCCTCCCATGGGCTGATATGTGACAAGGACCTGCTGCCCCTGGGGTGAGCGATGGCCATGCCCTAGCAGGGGGCTGGGGAGACCCAAGGGCAGGCCCACTGAGATCCAAGGGGAAATGTTGCAGAGGAAGCTGTATGTGCTAAGGACGTTGGTTGGGAGCAGTAAGGGGTGTTCAGGGAGGGAGGATGCCAGTGTTTATAATGATCTCAGCCATATTAGTTGAGTCTGTAGTGTAACAGTATGCCTTTTGCAGTGGTCAGTGACATGGGATGACGTGTGTGTATGGACAGGGCAGGCAGAGGCCTTGTGCTACCTGATATCCACTTCCATTAGAGGACTTAAGCAATCCTTAGAGTCTTCAACAGCAACTTTGTGCTGTTTGACATCATGGTTATGTGCTAGTAAACTTCACTTTGACGCCCATAGCGTCAAAGCATGCCTAGATCTGTCACTTCTTTGCTTCTAGGGAGATAAGCTATGAAGGAATTAGGGCATTATTTTATATATATATATATTTAAGAAGAATTAAGCACAGGGCACGTGGTAATTCTAACCTTGTTACCTGTGTGTAGATAATGTTGGTGTTGGGTTTTTTGTTTTGATGTTTGATTTGCCAGGCTATTTATAGTTCTTTGCTGCATTTCTTTTACTTTCTTCTCACCATTCAGTGTTTTCCAGCAGCACGGAGTAATATTGGATTAGATTGAGATTCTGAGGCCAGCTCCTGGCTGATGGCAGCACAGCTTCTCCTTCACTGCTTCCAGGCGCTGCAGGTTGATCCATGATGGCAGGAGATCTCTTCCATAGCCCTCTGTATAACAATGTATCCCAGTGCAGGCTTATTCTTGATTTCTTTAATGTACGGCTGAGAAAGTATCCGAAAACTTTCCTTCTCTTTTTCTCACTGCTGAAATTCCCACCTCTTCCCCCATCCCCAAAGCATCAACGCTGAGTTCTGTCTGGTGCATTTAGAATGTGGGTCAAGTAAATGAATGATACTAATTACTATGTTGGGAGGGATTTCCTTTGAGTATTTGGGCTCTAGATTCTAGCTAATGCCAAGAGGCCATTGTACAAAACCCATGCAGCTAAGAACAGAAGTATACAGATTATTTTTATACTTGGCTGACTAAAATATTTCTTTCTCAAGTCATTAATTAGAAAGGGAACATTTTGTATTTTGAAGGTGAAGTAGTAGGTCAGTACTTTTAACTACGAAAGTGGTAGTAGCCTATACAAGCAGCATTGTGCTATTGGTGCTGCTGCTTTGCAGTGTATTGTTGAGTGTAAGCAGCTTTGGGGGTTGTGGAGGTGCCTGAACTGGTTCATGTGCTAAAAGGCTTTATAAGTAAGAGGTTAGAATTCAGACAGTGGGCCAGGAGAGTATACTTTTCTTACAGTCTACAAATCAACAGTGGGCATCAAGGTTGTGATCCCAGTTAACACTGCATTGCTAAGATCAACGTCCATTGGGGACTGCAGGATTTAGAGGGGAATTGCCATCTGTTTTTGTGGTTATTGTGTCAGGCCTGAACTGACTTTATATATAGAAAGAAATGCATCTTGGAAAAAACCTCTTTTGTGATGCAGAAATAGTTTGGGTATTACTCTAAGTTATTACTGGTGGTCTCTGCTCTATCCTAAAGCCATCTCTGTACTTTTCCCCAAGAGCTAGAACTGTATAGGTAAGAACAAAACATGGGAAAGCTGGACTTCCTAGAGAAACTGGTTCCTAATTCCTTAAATCAGCAATGATAGTCTTTTCCATTAGTTCCCACCTTGATTTCTCTTTACATTTCCCCTTGCTCTTCAATGAGGTGTAAAATGAATGCATACCTGACCTTTACTGTGTATGCCACCTTCCCTTCCAGCCTGTAGGCAAAAATCCTTCTGCACTTCAACAGCCTGTAATTAAGGGAGCGGAGAGGGGGGAAGCAGAGGCAGTGGTCGATTTTTTTTTAATATAGAACACTGTTTGTAGTTGACTGACAATTCCAATCCGCTGGTGCTGAAGTAACAACATCTCGCTTTCTTCATGTGCCCCGCCAGCAAGAATGAGTGCTTGTGTGTCTGTGCATGGTGAGCAATGAAAAACAAAACAACAAAAAAAGCAACACAAATGCAGAGTTGTTTTCTTAACGTAGTAAGTGTCCTTCTGTAAAGGCATCTACCTGAGCACCCCAGGTACATTCCTCTTGGTGCAGCAGGAAGCCCAGGTGCTTTTCTCTGACCGCCCACATTCCACACTGTAAGTCTAAATCTGTCATGTGGATTGCTGTATGATTTCTGTCCTATTAGCAAATGTCAACTGAGAGCTGTTAAACTGTGTCCTTTTGTGTGTGTGCCTAGATTGGCAGATCTGCAGGACAACTCCAGCGTGGTACAAAAAAAACCAACATTACTGTATCTGGTCTTCAAATAGCAATTTTGTAGTGCAGAATTACGTTTTCAGATGGTTTCTTCTTAATGTTATACATTTGCCTTTAAAAATGGCCTTAAAAAAAGGGAGGATGGAGAGTTGGGGGGACCCGTGGAGGACCTGGCGTACAACTGCATGCAGTACCATGGCCTCTGCAAGGGCTGTGCCATGGCATGAGCACATGGCAGCTCCAGTGAGGTTTTGCTGGGCCTTCTGAAGGGCAAATTACCTGATGTTACCCTTTGGAGAGAAGCAGAGGCCAAACTCATTGCCTGGGGCCATGAGATACAAAACCTTGTGACTCTGAGTCATTCTGCCTGTGACACCTCGAAAAAGAGTTTCAGCTGATCATTTCCTTTCCCTCTGTACAGGTGGATACTGTATGAGTTTGTGCAAACGCTTAAACAACGCTATTTTAGATAAAAAGAACAGTGATATTAGTGCAGAAGCATCTCTCCAATTCCTTGGTAAACTCCTGGCCACAGAAATCTCCATGCTTTTGCCAAAAGCCTGTTTCATTCTGTGTGTATGTGCTCAGTGGCCTCTCCATTTTTGTATAAGCGCTGTCACCTGGCTGCATTCCCACCTGATAGTTCACCTGCAACCATGTCCATTGGGTATGAAGAAGTTGCTGCCTTTTCCTTTTAAACTGTCGGCTTGGTTCTACAAGAGAACAGATTACCTGCCTTTGTAGCCTAAACATGTATGTATGTAGCTAAGTATGTTATGCTTTTCATTTCTTTCAAATAAATATTTTCTGTAGAAAAAGCAGGTATAGCTTGTTTGCTTTGCTGTGGTTGGGAGCAGTGGGATCTCTTGGTTTTCCCAAGCGTCGCACAACAGAGAAGGCTGAAAACAGCACTCTGGGCTCCCACTGAAGCTGGCTGCCCTTTGTTTTCTGAGAGGAGAGCTACATCTGCCAATAGTGGGTGGAAATTAGACAAAGGCTGAAGGCATTTGATAACAATGATAGCACTCGAGTACAACTATGCCGTGCAATCACATTCATATTAGATTCTCTCTTTATAAAAATGGGATCCAGGAATGCTGATGCTCGAGGGGACACCAGCTTAAGCCCTGTGATACCGGTTAGCTGGAGCATGCTAGTGCTTAATTTCTGCATACTAAATAGCTCACCAGGAGATATGGCCTTTTTCTCACTGACCTCATACTGGCCCTCTGCTTAAATTGTACTCCTTAAGAGCTCTGTCAGCATTGGCTTTTATGGGTTGGGTCCTCCGCTGGCCTCAGCTCCACTCCCTCACCCTGGGTAACCATAGGCAAGATGTCTCCAGCACCGCAGGAAGCAGCTGCTTCATAGAATCATAGAATCATTAAGGTTGGAAAGACCACTAAGATCACCCAGTCCAACCATCAGTCCATCCCCACCATACCTACTGACCATGTCCCTCAGTGCCATATGCACTGAGGTTCTGGAACACCTCCAGGGACGGTGACTGCACCACCTCCCTGGGCAGTCTGTTCCAATGACCCACCACTCTTTCCTCGAACTTTTTCCTACTATCCATACGTGTGACCCCTCATTTTATCCCACAGCCCACAAGTACCCCACAGTAGCATTAGATGGTGTTGGCCTTCACAACTTTGAGTAGATGTGGGAAAAGAAAACACCATTTGTGCTCTGGTCTGAGGACTCTGGCTGTACAACTATCCAGGGAGCTTGGCAGTGGATGGCCCAGTGCAGAGCTGCAGTCACAGAATCACAGGATCGTGCAATAGCTTGGGTCAGAAGGGACTTTAAAGACCATCCAGTTCCATCCTCAAACACTTGCTGGGGTTTGGGGCCAGAAGGTTAAAGTAGCACAGGGACACACAGGGAGGCATTAAAGAGCTCTTCACTCTGCAGCTCTACCGCAGTGGTTTTAACCCAAGCACTGCCTTTGCTACCCCCCACCTCACACAGCACTGCACAGCGGCAGCTCTGAGCAGGCCCAGTTCTACCACGAGAGCATAACCCCCAGTCCTCCATCTCAGCAGCTTTGATTCTGCGCTTGCACAAAGGAGGTGGGAGAAGAAGGGCTTTGCTTTCTCCCTGAATCCAACTCCCTCCCTCTACTCTCATCCTTTTGGAGGTTGAAGCTTTTTTTTTCAGCTCTGGATACCCCAGCTTTCAAAGCAGAGAATTCCACTTGCCAGAGCTATTGATCTAGGGCACTTGTTAGCAGCATCGAGCCACGTGTAACATTTTTGCAGGGCAATCGTTAGACTGTGACTGATCGGTGAAGTTACCCGCAGCTTAGTTTTAGCTGAGCTCAGTTCCTTAGAGGATACAAAATACCAGCCAGTGATTAATGGTCCTCAGCACTCCCCTTGAAGCATCGTGCAGTGGGTGGCACTGCAGGGTGTCTGTGATTAAGGACAAAACCCACGCTTACAGAGGAGAACTGCTGGGCGATGAGCTGGGTGTTGAGAGGCTACTTATCACCCCTGGGTATGTGCTGTTCTTTGAAAAGTGCACTGCTGTGGAGATCCTCGTTGGATTCTGATGCTCTCCCTTGGACTGGTTCCCATTTTAGGGCAGGAGAAGGGATGTGATGCGGTTCGAAAATCCTCTCCCAGCATGGGTTGGGTGGGACATCTTCACCTTTTGCTCTTCTCAGTAGCTCTGCGCAGTGGATTCATCACCAGCGCTCTCTCTCCTTTGTTGTTTATTTATGGACCTCATTAGATGGGAATTTAGAATCATGGAACCATAGAACTATTAAGGTCAAAAAAAGATCTTTAAGATCATCTAGTCCAACCACCAACCCATCCCCACCATGACCACTGACCATGTCCCTCAGTGCCACACAGTTCTTAATACCTCCAGGGATGGTGATTCCATCACTTCCCTGGGCAGTTTAGGAGCAATGAGCAAAAGCTCACACCTTTGACATAACAAAAACCATTCTGCAGCAGCCATGCAGATATGCGCTGGGTATGGACTGAGAAAATGAGCTCCTGGGTTGAGCCCTGCACTAGGCACTCTGGTGAGCTCAGCCAGCTCCTCTCTGCTTCACTTTCCTGGTTGTGAAGTGGGACAGGAGTAGCTTTCTACTCAATATAAAGGTAAATCAAAGGAAGGGGAGCTAAAGGAGCCAGTAATTAGAAATGAAAACACATTTCACTCCAGGTGGGATGGACAGTGCTTGTGTTCCCTGTCTCCTTCCAATCTGTGCTTCAAAAAGTTGAAGTGATCTTCAGTTGTTCTTACATGAGCTCTATGTGTTGCTGAAAAACTACTTTTTCTGTATATCACCAGTGAGGAAGAAAAGGGATGTCCTGGCCCTTATCTCTGCTGTGACATAACTGATGAAAACCCATCGCTGCAGAGCAATTCCATGTTTGCTGAGTTGCCTCACGTCCATTTGCTGCAGTGTTGCTTGGGTTTGGGTTGGCTCCTTGCTGAGCCCGTAGGAATGCCTAGCTGAGCTGTGGGGTTGGTGCAGGGCAGCACCCACGCCGGGATCAGTCCCTGTGTCAGGCTGCACACCTTAGCAACGGGAACAGGGACTATTTCTGGCTGTGGCAGCCTACGTGCGAAACAGGAGCAGTGCTGAGAAAAAAAAAAAAAAAAGCAAAAAAAAAAAAAAAAGAGCTGAAAATTGGTTTGAAAACAAACAACAAAAAAAGTTGAACCTAGCAGAAAGCAGCTCACAGGTTGCTAACAAAACAGAGCCAGCATTGGCAAACTGCTCTGCCCATGGGAGCCTGGCACGCAGACCGGAGTTGTTCCTCCCTTCCCTTCCCACTCCATTTCCATACATTCACCTCTGTGCCATTAGGATGAGTCTTTTCAGTCTTCCCGTCCTGAGCAAAACCTACGGCAGCACACAGCAGAGCTGTTCTGATGTACAGAATGGGATTTAGCAGATGTGAGCAACGGCATAAACCTCCTTCAGAGGGCCAAAGTCCCTCCTATCCCAACATTTCCTACCCCGTCACCTACCTGCTACTCCTGCTGCTGGAATTCTATGGCTGTGCTCACCTCTCCCCGTGGTCCAGCAGTCCAGGGCTGCAGACACATCTGTGAGCAAGCTGGAGGGGGGTTCTTCCGTTGGTGTCTTTCCAAAGCTCCCAGATCACAGCTCTGCCACAGGCGTAATTGCACAAGCAGGGCTTTCCCTCCCTGGCCTCAGATTCCCCCATAATTGCTCATATTCAGTAAAAAGGTATAGGAAGGAAGCAGCTTTAGTGTTTTCGTGCCGCAAATGAGTCATGCAAATTGCAGCAGTCGGAGGAAAGCCAGGTAATCCCGGAGCATGGTGTAATTGCAGTCATGTGGGCAAAACTGCTGCTGACAAGCAGGAGCTGCAGCGTGGTTTCTGCTGGGGAGGGAGCACGTGGGTGCGGAAGTCTACATGTGCTGTGGGACCTGGGGGGTCCTGAGGCATGGCCCACCTTGTTCCCCCCCCCCATGGACAAGTGGCAGGCAGGCTGTGCAGTGGTGGATGTGTGAAACTGATTCAGCATTACAGTATTTTTGTGCATGCCGTGCCGTTGCATGGCAGGCCAGGCTGGATATGGCTCTGGGCAGCTTGGTCTACTAGTTGGTGATCCTGCACATAGCATGAGGGTTGAAACTAGGTGATCATTGTAATCCTTTCAACCCAGGCTATTCTATGGTTCTATGAGTCTAGGATTGGCATCTGTTGCCTGATGCTGCTCATCTGGAAGCTTCAGAGCTGTGTGGAGGAGGCAGGGATGGGCTCACAGAGCTCTCAGCTGCCTGCAGATCTCTGCACGCATCTCAGAGAGCATTCCACACCTTCTTTAACAGTTCTGGCTTCAGTTTTGCTTCACCTAAGCCACATTTTGCATTGCTTAACTGTGCTTTCTTCCTTAGTAACTGAAGGTATTCAGAAGTATGGGGGGACAAAATGTATGGACAGACTGGGTGAAGCACGTGCAGATCGATCATACACGCACATGGATAGAATATCACTTTGACAGCAAGCGAAACTGGAGCCATAGCACGAAGGTACACATCATCACTCTCCTTTACTGCCAGTGGGACAGGATGGTGGTGGCAGGTCAGAGAGGAGAAGCTGTCATTTGCTGGAGCTGAAGCAGAAGCTGTATGTACGGAATCATTCATGTTGAAAAACACTAAGAGCACCCAGTCCAACCTCCAGCCCACCCCCACCATGCCCACTGGCCGCGTGGCTCGGTGCCGAACGCACATCAACTCCAGGTTACGCCACACAGCGACACACGAAGGCTCGGGCCGTTCCGATTCCAAGCGCAGCGGCGCGCACCGCCCGGTGCGGACGGACCGTGAGCGCTCGTGGATGGGGGTCCCGCGGGGCGCTCCTCGGGCAGGTCCGGGGGGTGGGCGTGGCTGGGCGTGGCGGCGGGGGCGTGGCCGGGACCGGAGCAGCGATTGGTTGGCGGCAGAGGGGGGCGTGGCGGGGGAGCGGCCGGCCGGGAGTTTCCCACAATGCCCCGCTGCAGTGCGGCCGCCGATGGATGCTGCGCGGCGGCGCTGCCATTTGCAGCCGCCGCGGCTCGCAACGCGCCCCGGGGCCCCGGCAGCGGTCGTCCCCCGGTCCCCGACGGCCCACAGCGCCTGCAGCCGCCGGCCACCCCTCGCCTGCCCCCTCCTTCCCCTTCGCGGCCCCTTTGCCCCGCCGCAATGAACCCCCCCGCAGCGGCCGGCGGGGAGGAGACGGGGGCTGCGGGCGGCGGCTGCCGGGGGGCCGAGGGCGGCGGGGAGGCGGCGGGTGCCGCCGGGGTCCCGGAGGAGCCGGGGCTGGCGGCGGCGGAGGAGTCGTTGGAGGAGAAACTGCGGAACCTCACCTTCAGGAAGCAGGTGTCCTACAGGTGGGTGCCTCCCGCTCGGGCACGGGGAGGGAGTCGGAGTCCGCAGGCTGCGGACCTTCGGCTTTGCCCGAAAGCAGAAAGAGGCTCCGTGGCTCTGCAGCGCGTTGAACGGGCGGTCCCGCGGCTGCCGTCGGGCACGGAGTTACTCAGGGAGTCGGGAATCGGCTGCATAAAGGCAATAGAGCAGTCCCTATTTTTCGCTGTCCCCAACTATAACGTGACCGCTGGAGTGAGAAAATCCTTCAGCGCTGCTCCCGAGGGCGCTCTCCGGGAGTCCCACCCGTGCGGCAGAGACACGCGGGGCGGGCGGGCTCTGCACCCAGTGCCGCTGAGGAGCTGCGCTCCGAGGGCCGGGATCAGGTGTGCTGTGAGCTAGGGCATAGTGCTGCTTTCGTAACCAGGGGTGTGTGTTCTGCTGCTCCGTGCTGGTCCTGGAGCTGTGGAGCCCAATAAATCTGTTCCCTCCTTGTGTGATGCACCTGAATGAACGGGTAGCTAACGGGGCTCCTCTGTTCCCACCTGGGATCTGATAGTAGCTGCGGGCGACAACTGCTGTCTGAGCAGCTTCATGTAGTGAAGTTCTGCGCTCTCTCCTCATTCTGGCTGCATTCCCCAGTGTGGACCGGGGATGTGCTCTCTTAACCCAGGGGACAGAACACTCAGACATGTTATTTATTTTGCCTTTGCTCTTTCTTTAGTCTCTTCTAGCTGTAGGTAGGTAAGCAGAAAACCTCCCCCAACACACAGATACTTTTTTGATGTGTTCACACTGTCAGCTTACATCTCAGATAGATTCATAATGGTTTGAGTCTCTGCATGTGGTAGGGCTTAAAAGTGAAGTAATTAAGCACTCTTCATAGCTGAAGTTTTATATAATCCTTCCGTATGTGTGGAGAGACTTCCACATAAGGCTGATGCTCTCACTGGCGAGCGTGAAGTTTGAGATGATTCATGCAAGACTCTATAAGGTGAGCGATGAGAAAAGGAAAACTCACTGGGCACATTAAGGGCATTACAGCAATAACTTCTTGGTGCTTCTGAATCTCTACCCCGGTGGTTTTTCAGATGTATGCCATTTAGCTGAACCTGCCTCTGTTGCAGGTAGAGGCGGGCTCTGCAGGTGGGCTTCTGATGTTGTTGCTGATGGGGGCAGTTTTGCTAATGGGTTTGCTCTTGGTAGAGAAGGCTGGGGGTTTGCATTACGGTTTGCAGGTGCTTCTACTCAAACATACGTTTTCACTTTTATTTCAGCAGTTTTGGCATCTTCCCCACTTGAGGAAGGGGTTGTGGAGTCTCCTCTGGAGATATTCAAAGCAAGATGTTGTAAAGGTTTCACAATAAATGTGAAATAAATGTGAATAGGAGGGGATATTGGATTTCTCTTCTTCCTCTTGCCTCACCTCTCCTACAGCTAGGCAGGTTTACAACAATTCCCAAACCTTTACATATGAAAGTCTTTTCCTGAGCATCTCCTGATGCTTATTGCTCATTCTTTTGACTTAGGCTATGTTCAGAAAAGTAGAATTTCTTTACATCCCTGGGTTTTCACACTATTTTTATTTGTGAGCTGATTTTCCGTAAGTAATATGTGCTCTCATTTTTCCCTAAGGAGAATTATCGGAGTAGATGGAAGAATGGAAGACTTTCACACAGGACCTCCACTGAGCTCCCCATGCTACACATCCCACAGCCTCCTTAAATTAAATTGCTGCCATTATTTCTGCAAATTATGGTTTTGAAATACATTTGTAAGTGTAAATGACTGTATTACACACAGGAAAATGCATGTATGTTGGCACTGGACTCCCTCATCCACTAGTAAAGCAGAAGTTATTCAAGGCTTCACAGTGGCTTTCCAGCAGTTCATTTAGGAATCTCTGCGTAGATGCATTACATTAACATACACCCATATATCTATATTTACACAAGCAGTCAAACACAATTGGAACTTGCTTGAAATAATACAGATATCTGAAAATGCATATAAAAAGTCTGTTGGTGACACTTGAAGAAATGAACTAGGTGGCTGAAAGAGAGGTCCAGGTATTGTTACCAGAGGAAAAAGGAAAGCAGTGGAGGAGAAACCGTTAACAGTCCTGTGTTATTCACTGCCTGTCATGCAAGCATAATTTACCTGAATTTGGCTTAAAGTATTATCTAATTTTTTTTCCCATTTTTGTTGATTAAGTGCAGATGTTTTATTGTGAAGTCAATCTGTTTAACTAATAATGTAGTTATCACATACAAATCTCGTGTACCAAAAGCATGAGCCAGAAAACAACGTATGGCACTGACCTGACTGCTGGTGTACAGTGCAGAAACAGCTGTGCTAAGTATGTAATGAATTGGTGTGGTAAATGTGTACATTAGGTGTGCACGTTGCTCTTGTCAAGCCATAGTTTTGCCTGATTTAGAGGGAAAGCTCGCTGTACGTACTGCAGATGTGCTGCACGTGGAGCCCCATAGCCCCACTAATTTGCTGTGCTTCCAATCCGTATGTACCCACCATGAACCCAGCGCTCACAAAGCTCTCAGTGCACGCCAAAAGCTTTTTACTCCTTCAAGAATAGATGTTTGTTCACCTTTTTCTTTCTACTGATGCACTGTAATTACACATACATTCACAGTGGGGATACACCACTTATCTGTGTTTCCACGTGAGCTAATGGCTTTAAAACGTGTCTGTTGGTGTGTGTTGCCAACACGCGTTACTGAAGTGGATCTCAGTTTGCAGCTGGAGCACCCACCTCTCCTTATGCACAGCATTGGAGTTGGACAGGGAAGGAGGGGGTGGTCCCAGTGTGCAGCTTGCAGTGAAGGGTATCTCACAGGGTGCTCCCTGTGTGGCACAATGGAGGCACAATGGAGAGAAGTGGTTGCCCCCTTCAGCCTTGTGTGCTTGATGAGGCCGACCTATTTGAGAGTTGGATGTGGACTTCAGAAAGCCAGCAGATAAGCAGCTGTTGGAGGGCTCCTTTTTACCCTGGAAATATGGAATTAAATGTATTAAAGACCGTTTGGCTTTTCTGTTTAGATATCTGAACCGTGGTGAAAAATGTTCTTCTCATTAACTGATACACCTAAAGTCATGGCAAAGAAATTGGGAAATTACAGAATTGCAGGAGTTAGAAGGGATTTCAAGGGATCATCGAATCCAACCCCCTGCCTAAGCAGGTACCCTACTATAGGTTGTACAGGTAGGCATCCAGACAAGTTTGAATATTTCTATAGAAGAAAACCCCACGAGCTCTCTGGGAATTGTAAATGAGGGTGGGGGGAGAGGGGAAGTAAATCAAATGTGCACCCTGCCAAAGAGAAATACTCTCTGCACGCTGACTGGCTCTTGTTTGTCTCCTCTGTTTCTAGACCCAGATGAATATTTCCTGGGTGTTTTGATACAAAAGCAGTAGGTAGTATTTTCTTCCTTCTAATTTTCTTTCATTGTTTTTGTCATTGCAAAGTTCTGCGAAGAGCACCATCATCTGCATTAGCTAAAGTAGGCATGAATTGAACTTTCTTCAAAATAATTTTTGAAATAACGAGAAATTCAGGTTTTACCAAGGAGTTCAGTAAGAATATTTCCACAATAAAAGGCTACAGAAAACTACGGGGGAAAAAAAATACAGAGAGAGCTGTGGGTTATAAAGCTCCATCCTACAGGTTTCCTGTAGGTGTTTGTAGCTCTAAAAAATTAATCTGAAAAATAATCTTCTTGTTTTAATTGTTTAAGCTTGCAGAAATAGTAAAAGATCTAAAAAACCAGACAAGAGAAACAAAAAGCTAAAGAAAAACAAGCCCAAACCATAAATAATGCAGATGGCTTTTAATTTCTTAATAATTATTATTTGGAAATCCAGGGAATCTTGCTTAGTGGCATAGGAAATAAAAACAAAGTTGTAAGTTTAAAGTTTTAATGGCCCTCTTGTGAGAGCTCAAGTAGCGTTTGGCAAATGTTTGTCACTGGGGAATAGTTTATCTTGAGAAATGTGATCTCACTTTGACCAAGCAGAGGAATCCCGCTTGATGTAGCGTGGCAGGCGTTAGGGCTCTTGTCTGTATATGGCTCAACCCCCCAACCAGAGGCCGTTAGGATTCCGTGTGCTCTGTTTGCCCATGGTGGCTCTGCTGAGCCGGAGACATCGAGTTTCACTTTGAGTAATGGAAGGGACTGGAGGGGGTGGCCATGCCCAGTGCTTCTGACCAAGCAAAACTGCTTGAGGCCAGCCCTGTGAGCTGCCACCATGGTCAGCGGGTAGGTCTGCCGAGAGCCCTTCTGCTCTCTCCTGCACCATCAGCAGTGTATGGTTGGTTGTTTTGGCACTGAGGGTTTGGAGTGATAATTAGAATGGGTTTTGTTCCTGCATTTGAAGGAGAGAAGTTGTGGCAGAGAAATTCTGGGAAGATCCCCAGTTAAACAACTTCTTCACTGCTGATGTGCTTAGATAAGACAGAGAATGTGAGTACTTGGGACTTCAGATGAGTCCTTGGACAGAAATAGAAACTTAAGGATAGGTGACATCCTTGTTTTTTGCTTCATTTGTTTACAGACATGATAATGATTGTAGAGCTCACATCACTTCTCGGCAAATATTAAACAGAGACAGGATGGTAGAGGTGTCTCCTATTACTAAGACTTAATTACTTTATGAAATGACAGCATTTACTAGTGTACTGTGAAACGTTATAAATAATTAAAGCTGACTGACATTTGTAAAAATGAAAACATTCAACACAATTCGTTGATCTTTTGATTGTGTTGATTTCTTACACTTGGGTTTCATTGAATCTTAATACGTCCTATTTCCATGAATTAGTGAGGTTGTTCCCCATGAAGATGATGGATGAGTTTTTTATCTTCTATCAAATGTCAAGAAAATAATTTTCATTCTCTGGCCTAATCTTGCAAAATCTGCTTGCACTTTCTTTGTTAGAGTTTCAGGTATTTACTGTGCAGGGTTGGTACCACCCACGCTCATAACAATGACTCAATTTACTTTGTC